ACTCACATTAGTATAACAAACATTACATAAGATTTATCATTTCAGTACTGTATTTGATTAAAAAATAGGATATCCTGGATGGCCCATTTTGATGAACTATTCTTTTAAATACTGTTAAGAGAAAAGGCCTTTTCACAACAGTACAAAAAGTCACAGCATATTTTTGGCATGAAAATCAGTGCCCCCCAACGATATTTTTTTTTTTTTTTTCTCCCTTCACTCTTGATGTGAACAGCTTGACATTTTGCGATTGTGGGACATTTTCAGTTGATATTAAAAGACATGACTTGTTATAAATTATGACTGCATTATTTATAAATGCAAAAAGGAAAAGTGTTCAAAAGAAGTTTATAGCCAATGCTGATGCTGTTTGGACTCTCATTCTGACGGCACCCATTCACTGCAGAGGATCTGTTGGTGATCCATAGTGATGGAATGCTACATTTCTCAAAATCTGATGAAGAAACAACATCATATACATCTTGGATGGCGTGAGGGTGAGGAAAAATTCAGCAAATGTTCATTTTCGGGTGACATTATTTATAAATGCAAAAAGGAAAAGTGTTCAAAAGAAGTTTATAGCCAATGCTGATATCTAGAGAGCAGAGTGACTGACATAATGCTGATTTTACTTTTCAGAGTAATAATAATAACACAATTCACTAAACATTGATTTTTTGGTTTGGCACATTTGTTGTCCATATTTTAATTTGAACACTAAATCCCTATTGTGCAGCACTTCATTTGCCAAAAAATAAAAGGAATTGTTACATTATAATTTGATTAGATTTTCAAATAATAATAAAATTTTATACATTCATTTGATTACTACCATTTTCGATGATAATGAATTTGATAAAAGCTAAAACATTTCATAGAGCCCTATTATTATTGTTACAAGTTTTGTTTTGTTTCTTACAAACACGCAGCTTTTGTCTTCTCAAGATGTTAACTGATGGACTGGAGTGGTGTGGATTACTTGTGGATTATTGTGATGTTTTTATCAGCTGTTTGGACTCTCATTCTGACGGCACCCATTCACTGCAGAGGATCTGTTGGTGATCCATAGTGATGGAATGCTACATTTCTCAAAATCTGATGAAGAAACAACATCATATACATCTTGGATGGCGTGAGGGTGAGGAAAAATTCAGCAAATGTTCATTTTCGGGTGAACGATTTCTTTAAAAAGATTTTGTTTCTCATTGAGCTTGTAATTACTCACTAGCATGAATGTAATTCACTGGAGTCTTTAATGAAGCCATGCACACATCCAATCAAAGCAACCCGTCTCTTATTTTTACTTACTGTCATTGTTTTGCAACAGGATAGCCAGTATTTCACTGCAGTACAGCTTATTGGCATCAAACGGCATCTTGGCCTGTTTGGGAACACAACAAACACAGTTTCAATGTCTTTGGCAGCAGCATCCCATTCGATCTGTGTGCCATCTTCTCTATTGTCAGTGTAATTGCTGGTGTGCTGCATTCATGGAAGTCTTCAGGAAGCATTAAGACGCGAACAGCATGACACTCTTATTCCAGCAGCCAGCGGTAAATCTGAGGAGGATTTCACCTCACGTGGATAAACGACAGTGTGAATTGTGGCAGCAGGCCTACAGCTCTTACGAAAATCTCAAATCCAGCTCAAAAAATAAAAATGATCGAGTTAAACCCGTCAGAATGCACAGCCAACTTCAAACCAGCTGACACGGTCTGTTCACTGCGAGAAAAAAAAAAAAAAAAGACTAGTTATTTTAAAAATATATATCGTGTGCTTGACTTTGAACTTAAAGGTGAAGCGTGTAATTTTTCTGATGTCTATCCCAGTTTAATGCAGAGTCATCTCTAAGTAAGCTACTCACAGTCAAATATAGAGTGAAATAAGTGGAATCACTGATGCACTTTTAAAATACTGAATCATTGCTGTGTTTGTTTGAGTGGTCCATCATGACCATGTCTGACTAACCAATGGGTTATTATTTTTGCAATTCTGCGCACAGATATTACACAGTTGCAACATCCCTCAAAAATGCATAAATGCACGAATGCACAAATGAATAAATAAACGCATAAATGCGAACAATAAAGCAGCTCGCTGACCATGTAATCATGTATAGTTACCATTACCATAATCAATAAAGCAAAGTCAATTAAGAAAAACCTGGAAATAATAATAAATACATTTAAATAAATTAATAACCATGTTGACATTATTTACAAAACCTGTAAATAAATGTATAAATACTTAATGCTGAATGAATGATTAAATGCAAAAATAAAGTACATAAATAAATGCAAAACACATAAATGAATGCATATTTAAATCAATGCAATACATAAATGTATTATTAAATAAATAAAATGCATAAATACATAAATGCAAATAGTAAAGCAGCTAACCGACCATACAATCATGCAGTTACCATAATTAATAAAGCAAAGCCAATTAAGAAAAATGTGCAAATAATAATAAATGAATTTAAATAAATTAATAATGTTTACTTGTACATATGTATATATTATTTACTAACCCTGTAAATAAATGCATAAATGCTTGAATAAATGCATAAATGAAAAAAATGCAAACACAAATATGTAAAATAAAGTACATAACTGCAAAAAAAAAAAAAGCATAAACAAATGCAAAAATAAATTCTTAAATGCTTCAATAAATGCCTTAATAAATAAATGCAAAAAAAGCATAAATAAATGCCCAAATAAGTAGATGCAAAAATAATAAATAAATAAATGCATAAATAAATGCATACATATTTGCAAAAATGAATGCACAAATAAAATGCAATAATAAATAAAATGCATGAAAAAAAAAAGCATAAATAAATAAAACACACTCAGACTGGCTGTAGGTCTGTGCGAAGTTTAGTGGATGTAGTATGAAAACTCTTTCCCAGAGTTTGGTCACATGTTGTGGTAGTTTTGTACAATAACAGAATTTTGGTTTGTCAAGCCAAAATAATAATCAGCCAAACTCCATCATCAGATTTCATCAATGAGCAGACTACATTCACAAAGACAACATGACCCATCAATGAATGGAGTGATGTTACCTTGATCCTCTTCAGCAGCCACTGCATCAAACCCTGCTGGGCCGCTTCTGTACACAGACCGGGACGAAACTCGGCCATGTTCTCGATCACAGCTGCCACAGAAAGACAGAGAGATCTGCGGTTACTGTAAGTCCATGCTTCTCTGAAACGTGTGTGTTGTATTATGACCTAGTTTCTGCAGCGCCTGCTTCACCTGGTTGCCATGATAACTGATGGAGACACAGCAGTGAGATCAAAACACATTCACTCGGCACATGAATGCAGGAACGCAGGAACCACAGCACTTATTTGACACTCGGTCCAGATAGCAACCAGGGCCCAGAAGTAAAGACGACCCGATGACCTGAAGTTTGGGCCTTCGCTATACTGTCAAATCAGTTTACACAAGCAGTAAAGAGCGACTGACCGTCATGTTTGGACAAGCATTTAGAAATTAAAAACTGGCTATGATTCAACTCATGAGAATTTCATTACATAAATGCGTAATAATAAATGCTTACTAATTCTAATTAAATGTAATCTGTTATATTAAAAAAATTAAATGCATAAATAAAAATGTATAAAAACACATAAATAAATCCTTATGTACATAAATAAATGTAAAAAAAATAGGCCTAAATGCATAAATGCTTATGTGCATAAATAAGTCCTTAAAAAATAAGTCCTCCCGCAGTATGCTATCCGAACCAATCAGAATGCAGCACGCCTAAATGGAGCACGAGAACAGAACAGACCGGGCGGGCATACAAACGTAACGCCAGGTTCACACACTCCGTCTGTGGTGCGTATTTTGTCCGCGCCCATGTTAACGGATCAGAGCGTTCACACTGCACGCGATATTATTCGCTGTAAAAATTAACATGGATTGACACGGAAATTTAGTAATTACACCATAAATGCATATAATTAAAGTCTACTGTTTCACAGTCAACACATGGCTTTTTGGCTAGATTTAAAACAAGGAAAAGTGCACTTTTAGATAAGGCAATAATAGATGGCACTCGTGGTGGTAGTTAAACAAAGTTATATTTATTGAGTTTAAACGTGAATATGTCTACGAAAGGTTGTATTACTGTACTGTGATAAGAGAATCACAATGCTGAAAAAGCATTTTCAGAAACAACGTTTGGATTTGAAATCAAAATAATGGATAAATGTTGTGTTTGTGGTAAACAGCCGCGGCTCAGGAGCGGACTGCAAACGTGTCCTGTGCGAAAGCAACAAAATTGATCAAGAAATCGCGATAGGTTTTTTTTGTCCATATCGCCCAGCCCTAATATAAACCATATAATCCTCAAATGCTTAAATAAATCCATAAATAAATGCTTAAACATAAATCCTTAAATGTTTAAACGCATAAATCCTAAAATGCATTAACATAAATAAAATCACAAATGAATAAATAAATCCTTAAATGCTTAAACGCACGCATAAATAAACGTTTAAACACATAAATAAATGCATAAATCTTTAAATGCATAAATAAATGCTTAATGCATAAATAAATGCTTTAAAAAAATGAATGCATAAATCTAACTCAGAACGGGATGTAGGTCTACAATAAAACTTTTTTGATGGTGATGTATAAAACACATTTATTTTATATTTTTATATAATTCATTCATTTTAAACATGCAAACACTGACATCAATATAATATAATTTAATAAGCCTGAGTAATTCATACTGAATTTT